AAGATGAGACTTTCTATCCTTATTATCTTATAGGCCAGGGTAAGACGCAGTATGCTTATTTTTGTATAAGCAGAGACTTTATAATCTTTTTTTTGGCATAGAGTTAGTACCTTAGTATTGTATTTATATAAAAATTCTAACCTTATTGTGGTATACAGTAAGTCTTACATATGTATATGATTAAAGTTGATAGCTCTATTCTGGTACTGGATAAGACAATCTAATTTTATACTTGCATAAGATGAGACTTTCAAGAGTTATTCAGGAATAGGCTTTTAAGTACAATAACACATTTGTAGTAAAATCGTTTTATTTTATGAGGTAATAAAATCACACACACACACACACATATATATCTATATATATATATATATATATATATATATATATATATATATATATATATATATATATATATATATGTATGTATGTATGTATGTATGTATATATATATATATATATATATATATATATATATATATATATATATATATATATATATATATATATATCCAAGGATTTTTTAATCATCAAGTGTAATGTTTTAGTGATTACAATAACAATTTAGTTTGAAAACATACACATGTGTTTTTATTTTAATTAGTATTATATGGAGTTTATGTTGTTTTCCTTCTTTCATTTACACTGTTTCATTCCAATGAAATTAGTTTGCAAGTTTTATATTTTATATGTCAATTACTAAAACAAAACTGCATTTTTTTTATTTTTCATAAAAAATTAAAAAAGAAACAAAAATCAAGTTTACTGTAAATATTTATTAATCTCTCTCTCTCTCTCTCTCTCTCTCATCGCCTAAAATACAACAAATTTTTCAGCATCCTTTAAATTCTTTTTCAACTTTTCTCTTTAGTATTTAAATTAAATTATTGTTTTCCACAATTACATCATTTTTTAAATTGTTATTTCAACAGACACTTCTGACTTAAAATTAGCCAACTGTGATTCTTTAGACAAATCCACCACTATCATTAAAAAATAGTTTTGGGTCCAATAGTAAAACAGTGCAATGCATTCACCATGACAGTTGTGATGGAAAAGTATAAGGATTTTTAACAGCCCCACATTTAAACTATCAAGGACAACTTCTTACATTGTAGGATTGTGAATCCAAATATTGTAATGTTAGTTTTGGAACCCTCCTTATACCAATCCTTATATAAATTTACCTATAAGTTTAAAATCATTTTAATGAGCTGTGAAGAAAGTATTGCACAATATAGTCCCAATGTTCTTCTTGGCAGATTTAGAGTTTCCAAGATTTTTAATTACCTATTCAAAGAAATAAATACTAATCGCCATAAAAGTTAAAAGGAATTTATTTTTTTAGTTCGATCAAATCAGTTTATTAACTTTAAGAAACAAAATACAAATCCATCATTGTGGGTAAAATATAGTCCCAACCAGCATTGAAATATTACTAATGATTTAAAGTAGAATATAGTTTTCATGCAAACTATAAATCAAAGAACAAGTGTCCTTCCTAATAAACAAAACAATTTAAAGACAAAATCATTTTTCAACACAGAATGTCCAAGGTGTGTCATGCTGCATTGTTTGTATGCGCTATCTCTTTGAGTACGGTTGACAATCCATGTTTATGTAACATAAAGTGTAACATTGCTATATTTATGTGAATGAAGTATTACCGCATTAAGCGGTTCCCATATTTCCTGTAATTTATATTTGCTATATTATTTGCAGTGACTGATATTGTAACAGTAGACTGTGGAATATGCAAACAAATTTGACTTTGACTCACATTTACATCATATATTTACCGCCTAAATCTGCAGTGATGTTGTCAATTTGTGTCAGTTTGAAGTCCATTTTATGTAATCATTATTCTGCAAACAAAGACGAGTTTATTACTTCCGTTAGTGAACAGTTAAATCATGCTTGTATTAAGTGTTGATTCCATGCTGCAAATATCTCATCCCCTCCCCAACCCACCAAGACACACACCTACTATCAACTGAATAATACTAGGTCATAGTTTTACTTATTATTTTTATTGTCTAGGTTGTAGCTATTTTCATATTATGTTATACGTGACATAACATAACGCATGTGGGAGTAAATTGACCATATTGAAACAGATGAGACCAATTTGTTTTACCAATTTACTTTCATGAATCAAATAATTAATATTATTTGTTATTGTTAATGTGTTTTATATATTTCATTTTGTATATTTGTCAGCAATAAATGCATCCCTTGAATTTTATCATGTCCCCCTAACATACTAAACATAATGGTACCTTTTATTTTTATTTTAAATTCACCCATTATGCGATGAAATTAAATTAGCAAGCTCTTAATTTAATGATTTATATCTATAAGACATGCAACATAAATTGTTATTATTTATAATTGTAGTTAAGATTGTTCAAATTTTGTCAAAACAAAAACACTTTTGTTTACATTTTTCACACAATAATAAACGACATCAGATTTAAATATATGCACAACTAAATGTTCGAACACGTGTTCTGATTCATTTTTGTCTTTGCTAGTTCAATATGTGAAGGAAATTGACTGAAATTACTTTTTGTTTTGTGTTATATGTGCTTTTCAATTTACGAATGAAACCAGACCACCGTGCATTAACATGTATTGATTTATATGAGCGCGCGCATAAACAAAACTTTGCTTGCAAAGGGGAATGGAATGTTATGTAAGCTTTTAAAAACGACGAAATATTGATATGAGCAACAAAAATTTGTACGAGGTAAATACGAATCAATGCATCAATGAAATGTAAAGTTACAATCATGAAAACCTTTGCAAGGAAACAATTCCTCGAACGTGGTCATTGTGGGCGATTAAAGGTCATCTTTAGATGATAATGTTGTTGCCATTTGTACATTTGTCAGTTAGTGTGTACATTTGGAACAGTAGTGTGTGCATCAGGATCGAAGAATATTCCTTCTGCTCATTTACAATTACTTTATTATGCAGCGATTGGTTAAGTATTTGTTTTTTCCCAATGGGTTGCAATCATTCTATCTGGTGACATTCAGACTTTTGAGAGTGTGATAGGTGTATGTTGTTTTCTTGATGGAATGATTCTATAATCTATTCTGATGTCACACATTTGTCAATATAAACCTTCATCAACGTTCCCAAGGAAATGTGTCTAATCAGTCTTTTGAATTACCTCAAATAAGGTTTTTTATTCATTTTGAAATCCGTGTGCTTCAAAACATTAAATGTATGGGATAGAACAATATTTTTTGAGTGACTAAAAGTGTTTATGTGAAACAGAACATGCTTATGAACATGCTGATTTATACATTATATCAAAGGTCAGTGTAATGATCTTCTCTCTCTCTCTCTCTCTCTCTCTCTCTCTCTCTCTCTCTCTCTCTCTCTCTCTCTCTCTCTCTCTCTCTCTCTCTCTCTCTCTCTCTCTCTCGCAATTTAAGGCTTGGGATGCCTCTCCGCTTTTGTATTGTGCTTTTTCTGATTTATTTTACACGTTTCTGGTATTTCTGTATAGATGACTTGCCTCTACCGTTATTAATTCCTCCAACGGTTGAGGAACTAATTAATTTTTAACGTCAAAATCTTGAACACGGTTAGTAATGATTGTCATTTGTATTTAGATATAGAAAAAAGTAGTTATTCCAATGTGTGCACGTAATTTTTATATAAGAAGGCATGATGTTTGCTTCTGGCAATACCGCTGGGTTTTGACCCGTAGCCTCAGTGTCAAACTTATTGGGATTTTATCATGTCTAAATAAAATTGAATTACATATATGCAGCATTCAATAAACATTAAAACTTGTATACCAGTTATGTCCCCTTGCATAAAAACTTTGTATTGTGCAATCTGATATTGCATGACATTTATGTTAACATTATAATTGATTGTATTATTTGCCGACACTGCACAAATCACATTTTTTTCCTTTAACGTACAACAATTTTTTACATATGATTTATTCACTTCAATTTATACTTCATGTAATAAGCGACTGCACATGTGTGTGTCTTTGTATTTATATACGAAATATAATTATACATAATGTACTGCTTCCAACGCGTACATTTTTTATTTTAAAGTTTTATTTGGGAAAATTAAAAACATAAATCACGCTTGAATACATTTATGATGACAACAATCTGCATCCCATGTGCCGCAGTGATTTTTTTAAGAGTAATCTTTCAATTTCCTCGGCAATGTAAGAAGACAGTGATTAAGCGTTGTTTCTTGTATGTGACCCAAGGTGATGCATGTCAGCTCGTAACTTCGTAGTGAATAAAAGCCGGATTTTGATTGGTCAAAAATTATTAATTTACCCGCCGTATTGGTTGACAGTTCGTACGTATCCATTAAACACACCTATTTGTCTCATCTAAGACTGATGTTTCTGCTAGAAAAAAACTAATTTGCATTCAATCATGCCTTATATAGAAAAACAAAGAGGCAATTTGAGGTGCAGAATAAGGGTCAATAATAATTTCCAAATCACTTTTTGTCAATAAGGTCAGTACATTATCCGCTAGCCAATCAGGAATTAGATCTGTCTTGTTTTTATTTTTAAGAAAACTGATGGCCTGAACGCATCAAATCAACAGGTTTACTACAGTCCTATACCTACGTAAAGCGTCTACTAAAATGACGTCATCTTAAAGCATAAATGCACTACTATAAAGAAAATTAGCATTTAATACGGAATTTACTAAATGACCACTACAATCATTAATTGTGAAAAAATTAACACATATATTAAAGTGTGTGATTTAGGTTTTTAACGTAGCTTTAAAACTATTTTCAGTCATACCGCTACGATGTCTGCAGTGTGACAGTTTATAGTGATGTCTAGCATTGGGGCTTCATGCCGTAGACATGTGGCATGATGTCACACCCAGTCACATTATCCTGACACAAGGCCGACCAGTCCTAATACTAACCTCTTAATGCTGACCGCCAAGCGAGGCAGCTGTTAGTACCAATTTTTAAAGTCTTTGGTATGACCCGGTAAGGGTTCGAACCCGCAACCTCCCGCATCCGAGGTGGACGCTCTAACCACTAGTCCACCAGAGCGGTACCAACGTGTACAATTAAATTAATACCATCCTGTGTAAGAGAATGTGTACACCACAAGCCCACTCGTAAATTTAAATCAGTAACATCTCTCTGAATCCCATGTATGGTTATGATTGCACCATGAGTACATTGGAACAGTTTAATCACTGGCATCCAGGGTAGCGATGCCAGTACAGCGCGAGCGCACCTGCAAATGTTAAATTAAGATGATTTTGTGCGGGACATGGAAGGTAAAATAAAAGTGCACATAAATACTTGTATAATTAAAATAGTACGATCTTTTCTTGCATAATAAATACATATGTTCACACATAAAAAATCAACCCTTGATGGTGAAACCCGACGAAGACAGCTCAATTAAACGATGTCTGAGTATGTTCCAGTTCAATCTAACTCACAACAGAAAATCAACAAAGACTCACCAAAATAATACTTGTGATAGCTACTTAAAAAACATACACTCTTCTAAAAATGAGAAAGTTATAAATCATGGGTAATTATTAATAAGGTTATATTGTAAATCATTGTCAAGCATGCTTTATACACATAAGAATTGAAAAAATATATATTGAGATACGAATTTCAATTCTGCCTTATAGATACCATATCATGCACAACCTTTCTATCCTTCTATAAAAAATTTATACTGTCAGAATATACCACAGCACGGACAGGCAAATTGTCTAAAACTCGGATGCGTTATTACACAGCAAGAATTAAGTTCTGATTGGCATTAAAACACGAGTGCTAGTTCATATGGGAGCTTTATATCATCAAATGAATGGTATTTAAAGCTAAATTACCATATGGATTATATTGCATTATTTTGGTAAATCTCCCAAGAAAAACATTGTTCTTTTTTCATCATGTCCACATCAATATAGATGCGATCCAATTATGTTTTGCTCAATTGAGTGTTGATTAATCATGATGCAGTTGTTTGTCCTACGTTGAGAAGAGAAAGAAAAAAAATTCCATCTACCCAATAACAGCACCTGGGAACGTGATTGTAACGATTGTTTAATGACCTTTTTATTACCGTAGTCGCATTTTGATAGATAATGTTATTGGTTCTCGTATGACTGAAGGAAGGAATGAGTTGTAAAGGTTTATTCCAGCTTGTATAGATTGGAAGCTATTTAAATTTCATAAGCTATATGACTGGTGCAATCAAATATGCTTATGAGCAATGGATGGCTAGGACCAGTTGTCATTTTCCATAGAAATTAAGTTGGTATTTTTGTATTCTGTGTCCATGACTTTCCAGTTTTAGTTTTCTCGACGTAAAGCTTCAGTAGTTGCCGAATTTATTGTATTGGCCACGATTCTGGCTGCCTCACCTCTCTCAGCAATGTAAAGTAGATTGACAGGGTTCGACAATTTTGAAAATACTCTACTGCTAAAACAATATATTTTTGTGAAATTGCATAATTTTGCTGTCTTACTTGTACCCATAAAATCTTTAAAATGATTAATTGTCTCCTAAAATTAATAAAAGAAGTCATATTTAAGGACTAATGGGATATTTATAGTCATCAGTAGATGTACAATAAAGTTAAACAAATACAGCAAAAAGGCATATACAATTATATATTTGTTGCATCTGGTTTTATTTACGGTACACCAAAAATAATAGGGAGCACAGATCAATAAACTATTGTAAACTTACAAAGCACACGGAACCCTGAAATTTTTCCTTGGACAAGGAGGAGATAAGCCTGCAATATCCTCTCAAGTGCAGTGTACTACAAGTGTGTAAACCTGTGTCCCCGTAGTGTATGCAATTTACCACATGTGTGTCATCCCCCCAATTTATGTGGAAAACACACCATGTCGGTAAAAAAATGCTGTCTTTCAAAAAGTATAGACCCCGAGGATATGTTATTGTGTAAAATCAAATAAAATCCACTGTAAAGGAAGTGTAAAAATGCTTTCCCTGAGGTGGATCTCTTAATGTATGTGGATTTACAAGGTCCTCCTAATGTAGGTAATGCTTGTGTGTGTGTGTGTGTTTATGATTTGGATTTTTAATGTAGCTTTAACAATTTGTATGTCATACCGCTACGATGTTTCGAGTTTGACAGTTGATAGTGATGACTAGCACTGGGGCATCATGTCGCAGACATGTAGCATAATGTCCCACCCAGTTACAATATCCTGGCACCAGGCCGACCAGTCATAACACTAACATCTTAATGCTGAACGCCAAACAAAGACTGCACATGTGATAGTTGTAAACACTTAATAAAAAAAATGTATGTGTACCAGAAACTAGTATGGCTTCCCAACAACTTTACTTTACCGTACGGACTCGCCGATATTGGCCAACATATAAAAAGGGGCAACGTCCAAGACCAATAATTCATTGTCACTACCAAGACCAAGCGAGAAAGATGATTGCTTTCAGAGAAGCACAAATGAAGTTCAGAATGGCACAATTCAAGATCGGTGATGCACAAGTATCAAGCGAGAGCAAATTCGAAAGCGATTGCAGAGATGCCGTTCACTGTGACCACTCTAATTCAGTATCACATTATCATGGGATCTTTGCTGTCACTACCATACCTACAATGGAAAGTGGTGATGATGCTGTACGTGTCAAACCTGACGGATGCGAAAGCGACGCCACTCGTCATCGCACACCTTTTCAATTTACTGGGTTTTGATGGATTTTAAACTACCACAATACGAATATCATGTAAAACTGAGCAAAGTTCTGCTTATTTCACCACAATGCACAAAACGAATATTTGTTCCCTGTGCGTTTGCCAAATTACATGTACTGTGACCATGAAAGTCGGATCCAAACCTTCCAAGGAAAATGACCAAAATATCTGGGAGGTTCTACCCATAAAGTATTAGTCAGAGCTGGATTTTTCTAATTGGTTGATGGGGATAAAGTCAAGTGCTTAATTTGTGGCATGTCATTTCACGAATGGGAGAAGAAAGATTGCGCTTACCTGGAACATGCTCGATGGTCTCCAGATTGTCACTACCTACCTTTAGTGGGAACTCGTCATTGAAGTGGGCCAAATATGTCGTGTAAGAAATTAGCTACGTGGTTAGGAGTCAAACGTTGGACCACTCCTAGACAAGTATTTAAACCCCAAAATAAAAACAATCTTCAAAGATTACCCATTACATTGCAAGAGAAGATCTACAAGGACATTTGGTAGGAACTTGCCAGAGCCAAATCTCAATTATTGACTGCAGAACTTTTGTGTCGAGAAATTCACAAAAGGAAAGTGAAAAAAGTCAACAAAAAATTGATTTCTCTGGATCAAGGGTATGTTCATTCTACTCATTTGCTTTACACCATTTATATTGGAATATTTTATTGACATTTGACCAATTCCCTGAAAGGCAGTGGTCATAAATTGCTCAATAGGTTTATTACTTTCACTCTAGAAGTGTTTGATTGATACATAATTATGGATACTTTACAAGAGAACATTCATGGCTTACCTGTGGAGTTGAGAGAATGCATTTACCGAGAGTTGGTCAAAATACAATTCAAACGCAAAGAACCACTGCATCCGTTACGCCACCGATGTTTGAACCACTGGTACCTAAATGCTATAAGAGGATTGATTCTGAAGAAAGTGTTTAAATTGAAAGACTACAAGTAGGCGAAAAGTGTTGTATTGTTGATAGAGATTATATTTCAACCAGGTACACTTACTGAATCTAATTTGAAAAAAGTTAGAGAATTTCCAAAATCTTGTACAGAATTTAAACATTTGAACGACTTGTCATATGTCAGTGATTTAAAAAAATGGATTCGACAACGAACTAATACGACCACTTTTGTGCAGAAAATAATCTTTCAGCTGCCGAAAAAAGAGGCTATAAAAACGTTCTACCATGCCACGAACTTTATCATTTGTGACACAAGAGTTTCCGTGGGAGGAGATCAATTACAACATTACAACAGTAGAGGCTTGCCATTGGCTTTTACGAGAACTGTGGCCATTGAATTGGTGTCGACATGCAGTGTATCTTAGTCACTGGCTTTCTGTGATTGTGTTTACCTTCCGATTCTTTGTGGACTCTTTGCAAACAGTACCTAACACCCAAACACCATGAAAGTGGTCCCTTGAAATGTCCACGAGACTCATCCTTCTCAAAGTTTCGCGCTTTCATCTGGATACTTTTCGACCTTTATTGGAAAACACGACTTGTCAGCTTTTATGTACTGAAGATGTGTATGACGATGCGTGTGTAGCTTGTGACTTACACCCTCACTGGAAAGATGTACGTGACTGGAAAAGTGGGATTTCGAGGCTTGGACTGAAGAAGTGGCCAACTAGCCCCGAGATTTGTAATCCTAAAAAATTAGAATGTTCAGTGAAAAAGGTCACTTTTAAACCAATGTTAGTGCCAGTACCTGAAGAAGAACAGCCTGTCACCAAGAAAACCCACTCTCTTCAGGACTGGACAATTATGACATCCCTTAAAGACCAGAAGAACCCATGTGTGATGGTTTCATAGAATGTACAGACTCTCAGAACAGTACACACTGTCCCTAGGACACTACATTTTGATCACAAAAAAATGTTGTAAAGTGGAGACTTGTTTATATTCCACTATGATCTTTTGATGTGTTTTTTATTCATGTACTTAACCATTTGGCTTTTATTTATTTGCCTTTCGTGTTATTCACTATTCACAATTAATAAAAAATGACAATAAATATGTATTGAAAAAGTATAATCACTCTTGTCTTGTCTGTCTTGATGTCGAAAAGAGACATTCCTACCTCTACTGTCTCTTCCTCCACTTCCAAAAAATTGATGAACATTTAGATCGTGTTATTTTGGAGACCTTGTATCTTCGGCATCCATTTAGCATGCTGTACCAAGCGGCTCAGACAAAACCGAATTTGTCCAACGTTTGATAGAACATAAAATCATTTGATCAAACATCCATCTCAACAACTCGTTTGGTGTTACAAAGTGTGTGAAACGGCGTAAAGCCTTCTTTGAGAAAGTCAAGGT